CTGTTCTGGCCTCATCTCTGGAAATTCTGTTCTTGTATGGGGTGGGGCCACAACATTAGTAACAAGAAACAGAATTTCCCGAGGACGAGGCCCAGAAATCAGGATTTTAAAAAGATTCCCAGGTGATTCTAATGTGCAGCCAAGGCTGAGAACCGCTGCTCCAGAAGAAAGGGAGGGAGTGCAGAGGACTCGCCGTGGGGCTGGTTTGGGAAAACGGATGAGAGACCAGAAGAAACGCCCGGGAGAAATAAACGTATTCCAGAACTCCTTTATTAGGCACAAGGTAAAAATATATACTCGGAGCATCCAAAACCTACAGTGCTGATGTGGGGTTCTGGACCCCAAGTGTCCCCAGAACTGGACTTAGGACTTTCCAGGAGGCCAGGGGCAGACCCCACCTAATCCTGTCCCCCAACTCCAGTCAGCAGCTCGGGTCACAGCTGCTGAGGCGGACAGGCCTGGACCCTCATTCCCAACCACTCCTTGAGCTGGATGAGGACCCGCCTCACAGGTTGGACTCTTGATCTGCCAGCCCAGACCCTTGGCTCAGGCCTGGACAGAGGATCCCCTGACCAAGAGGACACAGCGGCTGGAGCGGAATTCGCAGCAGGGCCTGGGCTCTGGGCCTCAGGTGCAGGGGAGAGGCCTGAAGGCTTTGGCACAGGACGCTTCCCTTTCTCAGAGGTGCAACATACAAAGGCAGCTGGGTGGGTCGTGAAAGGGACTGTCCGTGACAGCAGTGTGGGGGGGGGGGGGCGGCCAGCACGAGTGGACGCCGTCACCTGCACTGGTTGTACCCAGCCCAGTGCAGACACTGGCCTGTGGGGATGGAGAAGGACTGACAGCCCTGTGAGCCGGAGTTTTGTCTCTTGTTCACAGCTGTGTTCTCAGCACCTGGAACAAGGCACACAGTGAGCTCCCAACAGGTGTGTGGACCACACAGGCGTGCCTGCAGCACACTTCAACATGCCTCCTCTTTTCTCCCTCCTACAAGGCACTTAGGGTTCATCTCAGTTCAAAGAGGCAGGAGAGAGCTTGGGGACGCCCCAAACTCAATCCACAGTTCACAGCTGAGAGTCGGGTAGGGTAGTCCTAGCCATATAGGCCCACTTCCCTTTCTCCCTCCTCTGCCTCAACTTCCTCCAGCCCTGGCCCTTCGGGGACCACCTGGTCAGCCTCCCAGAGGTGGGCTCGGGATGGGACTGAGGGGGTCAGGTTCTCTCGAAGCCAGGGGTGCAGCAGGATCCCCGAGGCTGTGAGACGCTCAGCTGGCTCCCGGCGGAGGAGGCAGCGGACCAGGCAGCGGGCCCGGGCGGAGAGGCCCCGGGGCAGGGCGTAGGTCCCCCTGCGGATCTTGCCAAAAAGCAGGGCAGGCTCCGAGTCCTGGAAGGGGTAGTGTCCGGCCAGCATGGTGAAGAGCGCCACGCCCAGGCTCCAGACGTCCGCCGCCCTGCCTGAGTAGGATGCCCGCGAGCTGAGGATCTCGGGTCCCACATAGGCCGGGCACGCGTGCTTGTCCCACAGGGAGTCGTCCGGCCCGGTCAGCACGCAGGCGTCCTCCAGGTTCTCCAGCACCAGCTTCGTCCTGTGGCAGGGAGAGGGCAGCGGGTCAGCTCCTGCTGGGACCCCCACGCCCCCACCCACTCGACTCAAAAGTCTCAGGTTTGATTCCGGTCAAGAACACATGCCCAAGTTTCGGGCTCGATCCCCAGTAGGAGGCGTGCAGGAGGCAGCTGATCAATGATTCTCTCTCATCATTGATGTTTCTATCTCTTTCCCTCTCCCTTCCTCTCTGAAATCAATTATATATATATAATCTTTTTTCCTTAAGTAGAATCAGGGTTTGAGGCCAGGTTTGTCTGACTCCATTGCCCTTCTCCTATCAACAGTGTTTCTCAAACTATTTCCTTGAGAAAAGAAAGAAGCACTTTCTCACCTCTGGGAGATCTGGGGGTGTTGTACCCACCCCTAAGCTCAAACTGATTTGAAGTTGTGCATTAGCTCAAAAATTTTACATTCCATTTCTTACTAAAGGAATTTTAAAATATTAAAATGGATTTTGGGTTCGATCCCCAGTAGTTCGTGCAGGAGGCAGCCGAACAAGGATTCTACATTTTATACATTTTTAGTATAAACTGTAGAAGGAACTAGAAAATCACCCTTAGACAAACATCACAGTGTAACTGCTACACTCGCTACAGGGAAGATAGATGGCTGCTAAAATTAGTGGGTGAAACTCTGAGGAGAAACACATAATTTCAAAGCGCCTCGAGGTACTTATTAATGACGAGGTATTACTCAAGGCATTTGTTAATTACAAAAGGTAAAATGGGAACTTCACAGTAGAGGCACCTGGCAGACACCACCCTAACCAATGATCATGTTAATATCACCATCATGTACTTCCTGATACCATGCACTGAGAAGGACCTATCACTTTTTTTATCCTCACCTGAGGATATGTTTATTGATTTTACAGAGAAAGGAAGGAAGGGGGACGGGGGTGAGGGAGAGGAAGGGAGAGAGAGAAACATCTATCAGGGATCAAACCCGAAACCTTTTTGTGCCCTGACCAAAAATCGAACTCGTAACCTTTTGGTGTATGGACGCTCCAACCAACTGAACCACCCCACCAGGGCTTCTGTGGTATTCATGCCAAAGATGTATCACCTCAACTTAACCGTGAGAAAAACACCAGCTGACCTCTAATGGAGGGGCATTCTACACAATGACTGACCGGTTCTCTTCAAAAGTATCCAGGTCAAGAGAGAACAGAAAAGCCTGAGGATCCGTCAGCCTGGAGGGCACGGAGGAGGCCTGACTGGCGAATGCGGGGTGGGGCCTGAATGGAATCCTGGACCCAAGGGCATAGAGGGACACGGGGGGAATCTGTGGTTTAGTTAGTAGTACGAAGCCAAGGTTAATGTTTTGGCTTTGGTAGTTATACTGTGGTCAGGTAAGATATTAACTTCAGAGGAAATGGTGAAGAAAACATGGGACCTCTTTGAACTGTTTTTGCAACTTTTCTGAAAGTCTAAAAGTATCTGAAAATAAAGTTTTTAAAAAATCCAGTGGGGTCACCCTCCTCCCAAAAATATCTTGAAATGAAATCAATGTTCTAATGGGTGTGCATGTGCACCTGGTGGCTTGGTGAGCCGACACCCTGCATACTCCCAGGATCTGGGGTGGGGACAGGGTGCCAGGTCCCTTTCTGTCCCCCCTCCAAAAATCACTGATTTTCAGTTTTAGAGGAAAAGGTTCCTGTGTGGGAAGCTCAGGGTGCATTTTGGCTGTGGCCCTGAGCTGTGTGTGACCTTGAAATCCTGGCGACATCTTGACAATCCAGACTTTCCCCCTACCAATCGGGAAACTGAGGTCTGGAGACACTGGGCCACCCAGAGTCGGCAAGCCACCCAGCCAGGCCTCCCACCTCTCATGCTCAGAGGGAGCTAGGGCCCTGGCTCTGGAGTCACCTCTGGGTTCAGATCCCAGCTTAGTATTTATTCAGCTGTAGGGTCTTGGGCTACTGACCTCGCTGGGTCTCAGTTTCCTCGCCTGCCATATGGGGACAATAACAGTGTCCACCTCCGATTTACCAGGATCCAGGCCACGCCAGGCAGAGCAGCGATGCTCTCCATCACTGTCGCAATTATCACAAAGGCAGCGCTGCCCTGGCCGGTTTGACTCAGTGGATAGAGCATCGGCCCACAGACTGAGTCCAGGGTTCAGTTCTGGTCAAGGGCCCTGGTGGGGGCGCGTGCGGGAGGCAGCCAGTTGACGTGTTTCTCTCACATCGATGTTTCTCTCTCTCAGTCTCTCCCCCTCCACTGTCTCTAAAAATGGATGGAAAAATATGCTCCGGTGAGGATTAATCACAAAGGCAGCGCTCCACCCCAAGGGGCTTCCCACAGGACTGGGTTCCCTTCTTCCCTGGAGCGGGCAGTGGTGCTGTCCAGGCTTCTCCACAGTCTGTGTTGGCTACTCGGCCTTCCTGAGCCTTGGTTTCCCCGTTAGGGCCCACCTCCTGGGCGGCTCCTCTGTTGCCACACTCACCTCTCACAGTCGGCGAAGACAAAGCGTCGCAGCTTGAGGTCTCGCAGGACCAGACCGTGCTGGTGACAGTGCGCCACGGCGGCGGCCATCTGGCAAAAGAGCCTGGCGGCCTCGGGCTCGGGCAGGCGGCGGCGGCGGCGCACCAGGCTGTGCATGTCCCCGTGGGGCCGCGGGAAAACGGCGTAAAGGTGGTGTGGGCCAGCCAGGACCTCCACGGGCCGTGCCACATGCTTGTGGGGAGGCAGCCGCGAGTAGGGCTCTAGCACCTTCAGGCTCTCGCAGACGGGGTACACCTGTGGGCGGAGCACGGCATGAGCACATGGGGGACCGCGTGGAGCCCAGGCTGACCTTGGAAACAGTCACCTGTCCCTTACATGCTACTGGGTGCCAGGCAGTGTGCCAAGCGCTCCTGCAGCAAGACACTCAACCCTGAGGAAGCCAAGAGGCCACACAGCCAAGTGTTCTTAACTGCTACCTTATATGTTCTTAAACTTAAGAGAATTGAAAAAATAACAGAGCCCAGCCAGTGTGGCTCAGTGGTTGAGCGTCAGCCTATGAACCAGGAAGTCATGGTTCGATTCCTGGCAATGGCACATGCCCAGGTTGCAGGTTTAATCCCCAGTGGGGGGACATGCAGGAGGCAGTCGCTCAATGATTCTCTCTCATCATTGATGTTTCTCTCTCCCTCTCCCTTCCTCTCCGAAATCAATAAAAAATATTTTTTTAACAAGAAAAGAAAAAGAATAGGTAACCCAAACAAAAATAACCCAGAAAGCAGGGAAATCCAAAAGAGCAGATGATGCAGAAGTAGCTTTATGCCCATTATCATCACCATCAGAGCTTCCATTCTCTAGAATTCACACTGCCCACCCTTTCTTGCATTCCTACCTGTGCCAGCCACTGGGCATCTAACTTGACTCACAGCCATGGTCCCTGCCCTCCTGGTGCCCATCCAATACAGGATGCAGTAAATAGGCCCCAAAGCGACATATTTATGCACACTAAGCAATCAACGCAATTCTGATAAGTGTTGCAAAGGAACCAAGAAAGGTGCTGGGAGCGGAACCGCCATCTTCCAGGAATTCGCCAAAATGACTAACACCAAGGGAAAGAGGAGAGGCACTGCTATATGTTCTCTAGGCCTTTTAGAAAACATGGAGTTGTTCCTTTGGCCACATACATGCGAATCTATAAGAAAGGTGATATTGTGGACAGGTCAGGCAGTGTGCACCCTTCACTAGGTGCCTCACTTCTGGGATTTATCCTCCAATTAAAATAGCTGGTTTGGCACAGTGGATAGAGCACCGGCCTGCAGACCGGCACTTGTCCCCTGCTGGTGTGGGGACAAGCAATCCCTGCAGACTCCCCTAAATGTTTCTAAATAATTGGGGCCGTATGAAAGCGCGCGGCTCTGGTTCCAGCTCGCTTTAGTCACTCCCCTCAGCATGGACTTCCTCCCCAGTGGGGACAGGAAAGAACCCTGATGCTGCAGGAAGGGGACCCAGAGTTCAGGGGCCCCTTAGAGTATCTGGGGCAGAGCACTGGGGAGCGGCATCAGGCAGCTCAGCGCCCTGATAAAGCTGATGACTGGACCACTTGTCCAGATCTGTCCCCCTGCCCACTGCACCCCCATCAGCAGGAGCTGGAGCCAGCTGCTGCTGTTCCCAGTTGGAGGCTTAGGTCCTTTTGCTTCTTGTTCATTCCCAAGGGGACCCAGGCCCCCTTCTACCCATCCCTTGTGTGCCTGGGTCTCCCCTATCTTCCATACCCCTGCCCACCGGGAGCAAATCTGCTCTGCTTGTGTCCGAACCATGTGTCCCAGCATGGGCTCTGGGCTTGGCCTGCCGGGGCCCAATCTCAGCTCTGACACCTCCTGGCTCTGGGATGTGTCAAGTAACCGCATCCTTTTGAGCCCCGGTGTCCTTTATCTATAAATGGGCCCAATAACAGTACCCACCTCATAGATTGTGTGAAGATTAGAAGAGATTACGCACACTAAGCAATCAACACGGCCCCTGGTGCACAGCAAACACCCATTTTAGACTTTCTCATCCCTCTCTGGGCTGTGACCTGCCAATGTCTTGTGTGGGCCTGACCCTCGTGGGGCCTTGGTCCTGCCTGGTTCCTGATTTCGGCCTAGAACCCTGGACCTTGCCCTCGGAAGCCAGGCCCAATGGTATGTGGATTCGTGCATGACCCTTCTCCCTCTCTTGACCTCAGTCTGTATCTGTAAAATGGCCAGAGGTTAGGTCCATGACCTCCAGGATCCCAGGGGTTCTGATGCCTACTCTATGTCATCTTTCTCTTGTGCAAATGTCTTCCATGGCTTCCCACAGGAGGTCCTTACTAGTGCGGTCATGCCCAGTGGCTGCCAGCCCCTATCTCCTGCCCCTGGCTGCACACCCTTCTCCACTCGGCCATGGTGAAGTCCTGTTAACTCCCTGAAGCGCCATGCTCTCCCTCCTCTAGGCCTCTCAGCACAGCTGTTTCTCTGCCCAGACCTCCCTTTTCCCGCTTCTCCCTAGCTAACTCCTCGGTCTTTTCTGACACCCCCTTGTGTGGGGCGCGGCCAGAGTGTTTTGGACAGGTTCAAGCCTTGGACTACTGAGAGGGCACAGTCCTCTCGTGGCCACGTGCAAGTCCCAGCTTGGATGGCAGAGCCCTCCCAGCACAATTAGCCAACAGCTGTAGTTGTAAGCTTGAACCTGTGATCCGAACACGTGGCCCCACGTGCCTGAGTGATAGAGTTCGGGTGCATGTAGTGGAGTGGGACTGAAACCCACAAGAATGTTGTAAACATCTTGGTCACGCCCTTACTCTGCCTCGTGGCGTCTGCTATAAAATAAAGACACGGCTTGTGGGCGCTGGCGCTGTCTCCTCATCAGGGAGCAGCGTCCCACCGAGACCCAGCTTTCATTCTCTTGTCTGTCTTTTCTAAGCCTTTCACCCCCCCACTCAGGGTCACTGAACCAG